TACGTACAAACGTAAAAGAAACGAACTAACCTAACTTAACTTAACTTAACCTAACACGTACGTCTACGTAGGTTAGGGTAAGTACTACTACTATATAAGTAGTGTGTGTGTGTGTGTGAGAGAGAGAGAGAGAGAGAGAGAGAGAGGGAGAAGAGATAAATAAGAGAGAAAGTGAAGCCCTTCGCCCTGAAATGGGTTTTCAACTTCCCACGCCAGGGTATACTTCCATCCCTAAAAGGGGTGACCAATTTTTTGTGCCTAAGGCAGAAAGTCATAGCTTGGGAACAGGGGAGTGCATTTTCAGTCCATAGTTTGAAAATCGAAACAAATGGGTGGACTTTCTGCACAAATAAACACATACAAAATCCTAGACAAAACCGAAACATGGTCAGAATAAAACCAAAATTATAGCCTGCTAATTTGCATTTGTGTAGAGGTTAGCAGCCTTTTATAATCTACTAACCCATATTTTGCAATGCAGAAACAAAGAAAAAATAGAAAGAAGCCAACTCCAAGTGAAATTTGACATACAAATTCTTCTTTTTCAGTAATAAACAAAACAAGCGTCATGGTGTTCAGATTTTAATGGTTATGAAGCCTTTTTTAGATCCGCAGACTCAGCACCAATTCTTGGGTCTTCCTTGTTTCCCTTATAAAACTTTAGTTACCTTTCTGCCTCTTCTCTGCAACTTAGCACATACTTCTCCAAGAATACCTTCTCCGATAACACACTAACTGTCGATAAATTGGCATCCTTTTTCAGCAAATCCCTTGACCTCAACAGTTTCAATAGATTAATCCTTGGGATCAACCTTCTCTCTAAATTATAACTGAATATATGGGGATGAAAACACAGATATTTCTCATCATATTTAAGCTCATCAACAAAATAATCCATAGTCTTTTGCAACTTCTCTTCTGATAAAGAAATGATTACGGGCATCCTTTGGAAAGCAGCGCAAATATCTTCTTCTGACTATCCAAAAGTCTTAAAGAACTTGAATTTCCTCTGGCAAGTCTCCTTGCTCATTGCGCTCATGCATCCAACAGCATGAGAGAACATTTTAGAGTGAGATTCAATACCTAATTCCTTAACTTTTTCTGCGATTTCTTTAAGCCTATTGAGCTTCTGATTGAACATGTACGGGTTTTGCAATAGGAGTGTTTTCAACTTTGAGACCAAAAATCCATGGCTCTCCATGAGCCTTATATTGGGCAGCAATCTATTAGACACCAATAGCGAACTACAACCTTTGCCAAACCTTAAGACATTTTCATCGGTTCCCAAATAGCTTTTGAGGAAGAAAATGCTAGGGAGAAGCTTTTTGTTTAAACTATACGTAAGAATAGATGGATTCGCAGAGATGAAGGCCCCAAGTTCAGATTTAGAAAGACCCAAATCTTCGAGCAATTTCAATTTGGGTTTTAGGGTTTTCTCGGCATCAGCTACAAGGAACTGAGGTCGCTTGCTCAAAATGTCATGGATGTGGGTTGCTTCGAAACCATTGTTTTTTAGGAAGGTTAGAACAGACAGGGGTTTCTCATCTGTTTTGAGGTGGAGAAACTGTGAAGATGTGGCAATGGCGGATTGCTTTGAGAGCCCAAAAGAGTCTATAAGTAGGTTAACCATGAAAGAAGGAGAGGAAGAAGTTAAGCTCATGGCATCCTCAGTGAGAGAAGAAGGAGATGAAGAGAGAGAAAGGGGATTTGTGGAGAATTGTTCAACATAAGAATGAAGAGAGGGAGGAATAACAAAAGAAATGAAATAGTGGGGTTTAGAGAGAGATTGTGCTTTTGTCAAGGCCATGATTTGGAAGGGTTAGAAGAAGATAACCAGTTCTGGGGCGAATACAAAGAACACCATTAAGGAATACAAAACCTCAAAAAAACAAGAATCATTTAACCCAACCATGAAATAGAAAGAAAGAGAACCGTACTCTGTGGCTTGCTGTAACGCGAGTAAGCTGTGGCATGTGTACCCTCTCTCTCTCCTCCCAAGCACCCCAACTTTCTCACTCTAAAATGGAGAAGGAGAATCTCTCTCCTCTGTCTTCTTTCAAATAGAGAGGAAGAAGGAGGTACTCTCTCTCTCACTCAATTTCAAACAGAGGGAAATGGTGGATAGGCCACATTGTTGGTGATGAGTGAGAAAGCACTGGTACGATTTCTTGAGGAAACTTTGTAGAGAGAGACTGTAGCCATGACCCCTTGAAGAGTAGGGCGAAGGGTGATCATTCGGCTCGATAGGACGGACGGTTAAGATCGTAGGACGAGCGAAGGAATGGACGGCCGACGATGGTAGGCTAATTGGGAAATCTACGCTCATAACTCATTATAAAAGATGGGGCCTATCTAAGGCCTGGGCTTTATGGAAACAAACTCGTGCCTCACCTCAAATCCTCATCCCGAAAACACTTTCGGACTCTAAAATTAGTCTAACACTAGCAATAAATTTGGAAACTAAAAAATAGTACAGATCTTATATATGTGACTATTTATTTTTATGGTGAAACGAAGAGTCTAGATAATTTATAACATTATACACTATTTTTAAAACTTGAAATCCTTTTTTTTTTCACAACCATAATGTTGAAGTCCAGATGATTGATATGAAAGTTTTCTCATGCTTGAATTGTGTCTTTGGATGAGTTATGAAGTTAGACTTTGTTTATGAAAGTTTTCTCATGCCTGAATTGTGTTTTTGGATGAGTTATGAAGTTAGACTTTGTTTATTTTGATAGGGCTGGAGCCCTATCAAACCAGTTTCCTATTATAAAATGAAAAATTGTTTAATAGTGCAAATAAGTAAATCCTCACTTTATAACTCATTGAAAATTGTAATTAAAGTATTAAAAAATCTTCATATTGATCATCTCGACTTAAACATTATGGTTGTAAAACAAATTACGATTTCAAACTCTAAAAATAGTGCATACTGTAACAAAGGGCAACGATTTCATGCAACCGATGATGTAATAACGTTAAAAAGCCATCTTATGGCCATTTGTTTGATCCAAATTTTGAAATATATACTCTTTTCATTCTAATGAACAATTAAAAAAAAAAAATTGAAAAGCACTACCTAGAAAGTATTTTTCTAGTACAATTAACGTAGACCGTTCATTTTGGTGAGATGTTTAGATCTAGACCTTAGAATGATTTTTTCATTTCCAATTTTTTTGGATGGCTTTATTATCATTAGATGAACAATGTTAAAAAAGAAAGAAATGATTTTGAGTTTATAAAGGCTAAGATCTTTAAATTCACAAAATGATGGTCTAGATTCGTTTTTGGAGGGGACTCTTTTGACCAAATCTAGGGTTCAAATTGAACTTTTTTTTTGGAGTGATTGGTTATTGAGATGAAGAGAGTGTGTGTGTAAAATTTGGAGTCATACAAATATCACAAACATGGTTTTCTAGAAGTGTCGTTATATTATACTATAATACAATCGTTGCATTGGATTATTGCTCTCTAACAAATTATCTAGATTGTTCATTTTACTTTAAAAATAAGTGTTCATAAGTCCACTAGATCTATACCTTTTTTTTAGTTTCAAAATTTATTGTCAATATTGAAATTTGATTTTAGAGCCATCGTTGAAAGTACTTTCCGGATGAAGATTTGAGGCAAGGCTTTATTTTGTTTTTGAAACCTCATACTACATTATATACAAATATATTTCCTTTTAGTGCCCTTCTAAGATTCAGACGTGCCTTTCTAAACGCTACCTTAGTTCATCAGACACTACCTTTTTACGAAGTTCCAATTTTACTTTTTAAGTTTTTTTCCCACTTTTTTTTACATTAGTCCTTCAATGTTGGTCATTTGACCTAGACTGAGATTGCTTGCAGTAATAAGAGGGAGGCAACTCACAGGCTGGTTGGATGCTACATGTGGCACAGCATGTTTTTCCAAGCAAAAGTATTGCACCGAATATAGCAATTGAGATAAGAAAATTGTTTCATGCTGGACCGCATTTTTACATATGCTTTCAAAAAGTGTAAAGCATCCATTTTAAAGATGGATGCAAATAGGTGTTCCATCTAAAAACAATGAAAACTAACGGTCCAAATGTTTTCTTATTAGAATTATTATTTTTAATTTTAAAATTTATTTATTATTTCATATTCATGATCTCCATAATTGAGATCACATGTCCTTAAAAATTAAGTCTTAAAATCCATCTAAAAAATAGATTCATTAAGAACCCACATTTCTACATATGCGGGCTTGGCCGCATAGAAACCGGATCCATTAGGTTAAATTGGTGGGGGCTCATATCGCGAATTTGGAATGTTATTATGATCGTCCCTTTTATTAGGAATTAATAGATAATTAGCATATTTCAATCATTTAATTAAATTAATATTTAAGGAAAAAATCATTTAAATGATCAAAACACTTCATAAAACATTAAGATCGTTAATCATCCCGTTCGAGTACCTCTTTACGTTTTATTTCCATCAGTATATCAATCCTTTAAGTTTTATTTCCATCAGTATCTCCTCAATCCAAGAAAGAGTACTCATGTCATTTGCATCAGTTTCAAGCCTTCTTTGCTTGGTATATGGCATGGATAATATAATGGGTGCTGATAAACAAGAAAAGAAGTGAAAATCACAGTGATAAGAATCCCATAGTATAGCAAAATTCGACACACAAAACTCTTAGTAATTTAACAGAGGAGACATGCTCGTTTTTTGACATCAATGGCTATGAAGACTGACCCCTAAGCCCCTCGCGACCCCATAGTCTTGAGCAACTTTTCGCCTTAGTCCCCAAATCTCAACATATACTTCTTCAAATAGTGCACAAGCTGTCGATAAATTCACATCCTATTTCATTATTTCAATACTTGAAATATATTATACCCAGGGGTCACCCTTCCATCAAAACCATAAAAGAAAAAGATGGGGATACAAAAAATTATAATTTATCATATTCCAATTCACTAACAAAATAATAAACAAACATCTTCAACTTCTGATCAGAGCAAGCCCATCAGGCACTATCTGGTAAGCAATAGAAACAGCTTGTGACCACCCATAACTATCAAAGCAATCAATCTTAGCCTTCCCTCTCTCCTTGCTCGTTGAACTCGTGATAAGGATTGCAGTAGGAAACATCTGAGAGTGAAGATCAAGAACCGATTCCTTAACTTTCTTGGTGAATATATAAACCAACTGGGCTTCAGGCAAAGTAACAATGGTTATGCAATACGAGCGTTCTTAACTTCGAGCCCTCAGCTCCATAGCTCTCTATGAACCTTATATCACCGCTCTCTCTTGATTATGCCACCTGAAACCCAAGTGATTGATTTAAGAAATCGAACTGCATTCTCACTGGTCTGCAAATTGTTCTTGAAGAAAAGAACGAGAGGGAGGATCCTTTTCCTTGCCATATGCACAAGAAAAGAACAGTTCGAAGAGACACCTGAAGATCATAAACATCTTTCTTTCCAATTTAAGTTTATACTATGGATATTATTCACAGCCGTACCACTAAAGGTATTAACTTTTACGTAAAGCTTAGACAGACGCTAGCTTCTCAACGTATGATAAATTTATATCTTCACCAAAAGAGTTTGATAATATTTACCCCGACCTACTGTGAAACATTTCCAATGGAGTAATTTATGGTCCCTTGTCAAAGGGAACTTTAAAAAATTAATAAAAAGATGAAAGCAAACTAAAAAATCTATCCCGAAGAAGAAACTTCAATTGATGCAGTAGAAGGGACAAAATAATAAACATGTGCGGCCAATGACTCGTATCACAACTTTGTTAACTATCTAGAATATCACAAACTCATGAGGATCACACTGCACAATTCCTGAAAATTATGAGAAGCCACTTGCAAAACACACATGATTTTCAGACTTGGATAGCTAGGCGGCTTCTAACCCCCCATTTCACCACTGATTCTCGTGTTCTCCTTGCTTGCGTTATAAATCCTCAATAAAAAGTCAGCTTCATCCCCAAAACCCAACAAATACTGCAAAAACTTCTCCTCTGTCAGTCCACAAACGCCTGATAATCCTATATCCTTTTTAACCAAATTCTTTGATTTCAAAGCCTGCAACACCTTATGCCTCGGAAGAACTCTTCCCTCAAAATCAAAACAAAGAAGAGAAGGGTGCAAAACCAAATAATCTTTATCGAAATTCAGTATGTTCATAAAACCATAAATAACCTTTTGCAACTTCTTCTCTGACATTTCCAGTAACAAAGGGTTCCTGATAAACACAGCTAGAACATTCTCTTCTGACCACCCAAAACTCTCAAAGGTCTTCAGCTTACTCTACCATGTATCCTTGCTCAGGGAACACATGCATAAAACTGCACGAGAGAACACGATAGTCTGACAATTAAGTCCCAACTTCTTAATTTTTCCCAAGATCTCCTTAAACCACTTGGGTTCCTGTGTAAAAATGGCAGGCTGTGCCAACATGAACTCCTCTAATTGGGAGGCACCAACTCCATAGCTCAGCAGAGACTTTATGTTGGGCAACAATGCCTTCTTGGGGTTGGCCATAACAAGCTGACTATATCGTTTTAGAACACTCAAAATGTCTTCATTTGTTTTCAAAATACTCTTTAGAAAGAGCATGGACGGTTGGAGATGCTTATTGGTACTACATGTAATAAAAGCTGGATTTGAACAGAGGAATATGCCAAGATCGGATCCAGAAAGACCCAAATCTTGTAGCAATTTGAATTTGGATTTTAGAGTTGTGGTGGTAAGAATTTGGGGAACCTTGGTGATGATATTAGAGATAAGGGTATCATGGAAACCACTGTTTTTGAGGAATTTTAACACAAAGAGAGGCGTTTTAGGGGATTTAAAGTGGAGAAATTGGTGAGATATTTCAATTGCCGCCTCCTCTGAAAGGCCAACTGAGTCTATCAGTTGTTTAACCATCAAAGAAGCTGATGATAAGGCCATTTCCGTACTATTACAAGGAGGTGAGAGAGATGAATTAGAAGGAGACATTAAGTTTACCTCATCACCAGTGAGAGGAAGCGAGAGAGAAGAAGAAGATGAAGCCTTCGCCTTAGCATCAATTTCATTATTTTCTCTATTTCCTTTAAAAATATTCAACAGGTACTCCTCTTGTTCCCCAAAACTGAATACATACTTCTGCTAGAATGCCTCCTCCGAAATCAAACAAACTTTTAATAAATTCACATCCCTTGTGAGCAAAGCACTTGATCTCAAAGCTTGCAACACATTCAACCTAGGAATCACCCTTTTCTCTAAACTATAACCGAAGAAGACTGGACGTGAAGCTAGGAAAGATTTATCATATTTGAGCTCATTGAGGAAGTAATCCATAACTTTCATTAACTTTTCCTCTGATCGGGACATCAAATATGGCACCTTAGAAAACATAGTGAAGACCTCTCCTTTTGAAAAACCAAAACTCTCCAAAAGCTCAAGCTTAGCCTTCCATTTCTTCTCGCTCAACGAACTCATGGTATAAATTGCACTGACAAACATCTTTGATTTTGGGTCACAACCCAACTCTCGAACTCTCTCTTCGATCTGCTTAAGCCTCTCAGTACTCTGATAGAAAAAACCTGGCCTGCTAAGCATGAACTTCTGGAGTGTCGGCCTAGCAATGCCACAGCTCTCCAAAAACTCCAAGTTGGGTTTCATTATATTCCCCAGAACAACTATCTTGGAGCGCTTACAGTGCTTTATAGCACTTAAAAATTCTTCATTGGTGTTGAATAGCTTCTGAGGAAGAGGATGGATGGCTTAAGATGTTTATCTATGCTGTAGCAGAAGATGAATGGGCTAGAAGATAGGAAAGAAGCGAGTTCAGGACCCGAAAGACCCAAACTTTGGAGCAATTCGAATCTTGGTTTTAGGGTTTTCTCTACACTGCATTTGAGAACTTGGGGTCGTATCCTGATAAAATCATGAATGTGGGTTTCATTGAAACCAGAGCTTTTGAGGAAGTTTATTACAGAGAGGGGCTTTTCAGGGGTTTTGAAGTTACCAAGGTGGGAAGAAGCAGCAATGGCTGATTCCCTTGAGAGCCCAACAGAGTCTACAAGAAAATTAACTATACAAGATGAAGAAGACGGAGCCCAATAATAAGAGGAGGAGAAGAGAGAGGACATGGCCCTGAAGAAAAGTGTTGGTGGAGAGAAGGAAAAGAAAGTGGTATGACAAGGGAAAGGAGATAATGGGGTTTGTAGAGAGAGAAAGAATGGGGTTTTGCAAAAGACATTTACATTAAAAGGGCCCATAACACCATTTCCGAATAAGACCTCAAGGAAAAAACAAAGGAAATGGAAAGGTTACAGAGAGGTTGGAGAAAACGTACCTAGTACAAGTTCATGAGGGTAGAAGAAACCGCCACTTTACACATACTCTCTCGCTGCGACTTTGCGAGCCTCAGTTCAAAAATCAACTGGGCCAAGTTCTCTCTTTCCCTTTAAACGTAGGGTTCCTCTCTCTCTAAAACATTCTCTTTCCCTTTAAACGTAGGGTTCCTCTCTCTCTAAAACATTCTCTTTCCCTTTAAACGTAGGGTTCCTCTCTCTCTAAAACATTGGGTTCGTGGAAGTATAGACTAAGGTTCTCGTGAGTAGGGGTGGCAATGGGTCGGGTCCGGCGGGCCCTAGACTCAACCCAGACCTAAATGTATTCGGATCGAGAAGCTGGATCATACTTGTACCCATCGAGTCTGATTGAGTCCATTGCCACTGCTATGATTTATTTATTTTTATAATACATACACCCACATTGATAACAAGTTCACAATCATTAGCAATTAAATTTAAGAGATTGTATATAATGCAACCATCTAATGTAAAATCCCATTGCTTGGTTGTGTCACGATAAAATTTATTTAGAACTTTGAGCTTGCTCAATAAAATACATGCAGCCACACAATTTCATATATAATAGTGAATATTAATTGTGACCGACTTATACCAAAAGTAAATAATCTCATTATATACTTTTTCTATATTTAAAGCTGTTTGATTTCTCGTTTAATAGTTAAAGATGACTATAAATTCTTATTGTATATGATTCTTAATACACCCAAACGAATATGAATTAAAGTATTTTATCACCAACAGTTTATGAGCATAGGTCCGGTCCAATCAAACCCAGACCCAGACCCAGACTCAAATAGTGTTTGAGTCATGGTTTTGGACCTAGACCCAACCTGCGAGTCTAAATGTTGGATCCATACATGAACCCGTGTCGGGTAAGTCCGTTGGGTCCCAAGTCGGGTCTAGGTCCATTGCTAAAATAATTTAATAATTTTAACTGGCAAAATTTTAAATTTTATCAAAAAAATTAATTGATAAACTCCGTCTTGTAGGGCCCGCGTTGTTACGCCGGTTCCAAGCCCAGGTAAAGGAGGTGAGCTATGTTAGATTTCTTACAATGAGCTCCTTGTACAAATAGTTTTAGTGTTGGAAATCTTACGATAACTTGAAAATCTATGTTGAACCGTAATTATAAATTGATTGAGCAAATCTATAAACACTTGAAAATCTTAAAAATAGAAAGTCTATGTAACATGTTACACAAACTACATAATTTTTTGGACTTGAAATTCATTTCTTCTTAAAATTCATTTCTCTCAATGTCGATGATCAATTGTTAAGTTTTCCAACTTCAAAATACTCTATTGGATATTTGAGATACACATTATTTCTAATAAAAATTATGTATATCCGTCATATTTATCGTTACTACAAAAATACCTTTTAGTTTCTGTTATTATATATAT